ATTTGTCCGCACTTGTCACAATTGTGGACAGTCGGGTCATTTCCAACGGTTTTGTCCTCACCCACCTCGCATCCCCCCTCCTCCTCCTCCCCTTGCTGCGCTGCCACCTCCCGCCAATCCTACCACTGCTATTGTTCGGGTCCAACCCAATGTCTCCTTTCCGAATACGAGTCAACCTTACTGTAGTAATAATAATAGCAACTACCAATATCGTCGTGGGTCCGGGTGGTCGAGTAACACTAAAAGAATTGAGACTCTCGAAGACACGGTGACAGCTATCAAGACTCGGCATGATGTCAAGATCGCAAGGGAGAAACAAAAGAAAGAAGAGGAAGAAAACTCAAGGAAAGAGAAGGAGGACGAAGATCGACAAGTACAACAACAAAAGGACCGTGAAGACTTACAGAAGATGATCGGTGAGACAATTGAGGCCAGGCTAGATGGTGTCGGGGTTAACAACGCACCTAGGAAGTTGCCGGAGACTAACGAGTTGGATAGACTTCGAGCCGAGGTTGCAAAATTGAAGCGCGTCCAGTCAGCAACACGATCCACTGCTAACTCTGATGCTAACGAGATTGAGAAGCTTCGAGCCGAAATCACCGAGCTGAAACAGTTGCGGCTGACCCGAATTGCAGCGCATACGGATGATTGTCACGGGAGACTGCTAACGAAACGAGAATAAGCCTCGAAGTCCGTTCAAGAGTCGTACGAGAGAAGAATGACAACTTTGGAGGAGCAGATCGCCATTCTTCGATGGATGAAATATGATGCAGTCAACAAAGCCGAAGTTTGGAAACAAGAGGCTCAAAGGCCTGGGAACAAGAGAGGTGGCATCAATATTGGAGCCACTCCAACAACGCAAGCCAGGATTCGTCCACGTTGTACACCTGCGTCTATAACCGCACCAAGTAAGAAGATGACCATGGAAGACTATCGGGAGTTTGCTCAACATCACGACGAAGAGATCAATCTGCTGAAAGATATGCTCGCGAAGGAAGTTGAACGAAGAAAAGAGGTCGAGGAGGAGGCATTGCAGCTGAAGGAGAAGCTAGCCCGACTGAAAATTGAGAAGAATGATAAACAAACTACTGCTACTTGCCGACGATCAAGACTGGAGGCAGTTATCGAGGGTGTTGTCGGTCCCTCATCTCGTGGGAAGAAGATGGCCACCACGAGCAAGGCGGATGCGCTGAGAAATGAGAAGGTATCCAACGATAAGGGATCTTTCCTGAAGGAAAACCGCAACAATTTGAAATCGTTGAAGAATGAGCTATCATGGCGATTTGCGCAAAGGAAGGGGTATTGTATACTACCTTGGACAAGACGAAAGAAGAAATTGTACAGCGACGATTGGTCGAAGCGTTTCGGGAAGATGACACAGCGGGAACCCACACCAATGGAGTAGTCATCGAGGAAATCTCTGATGACAATACCGCTGCCAACACCGACTTAGGTAAGGTTGGCAACGGTGAGGACACTGTATCTTAGTGTTTGTTCCGGATGCAGCTTACTATTGGCAGTTGGCGCGACGATGTAGTTTTATTCGTAGCAACTCTGCTGAATTTATGAGATGCAAGAAGTTGAACGTGATTTTTAGTCTCATTGTATTTGCGCTTATTCTGTGTGGTGAAATTTCGTGGGCAGACAAGTTTCGTAGCTCTATCTCTTCCCTGTTGACCGATGAGTATGATTTTGCTGATGGAAAGGGACCTTTGGTCTATGCTCTCATATCTCCGTGGTGTCGTCATACTTATGTTGGGAGTACTACACGCGATCTTCACACTAGATGGGCCGAACACGTATATAGAGTATGTGATGCGGGTGTGGTCTATAAAGGTAAGAGATATGAAAAACTACATAAATAGCTCAGATGATGTGGTGTCGAACGCTACGTGGCTATCCTGTACTTCGATCGTCGGCTGATGATTTAATTATTAATGAAAGTTTTTTATTCGGACTATCTGCTCTGGGTTAAATACACGTGATCGGGTATGTCGTAGGAAGCGTATGAGAAAAGGATTGAGAGAACGATTGAGAGAGAAACGAAAGGCCGGTGTAACTACTGTTAGCCAACCCTCTGCCTCTCTTCTTACCTTTCACTCCAACACTGGAATCATCAGCACGAGTTTACATCGCATCTTAGATTTCTGTTGTAGCGAAGGGAGAATTCATGCACTATTGTGTGCCGAGGAGGTGGGTCATTGGCTGACCACTGGAACGTTTTGAAACGACTTTACAGAATTTCAATTGTGACATCGTCCTTTGGGGTATCGCAACTTCGACGTTTGCGTGCTTGGTTAGTGCATGGTTCGACTATGACCTTTGTATCCATCGTTCCTTTCCTCGATCGTCTACTTCCTCTCAAATTACCCTTATCTTCTCTTATTTCACAACCTTCTTCTCGCAAGGACCTATATGTATGACCCTTTGATAAACTGGTTCTTGCCTTCTCCGCTATCCGAACCTTCCACGAGAAACGATCTAGGACTAGATTGAGATGTATTCTTTCCACAGTAATCAATCGTTGTTTTGGCGTTGAAATTCGCCGAAGGTTGGTGATCTGAATTGAGTTTCATAAGATTTATTGTAAGTCACACATTTGTCAGTATTGTAATAGACTGGTTAGCAGGTTAAATATCTCCGAGGGATGGAGGCAGATGTTGGTCCGCCGTATGAGGGTTGTGTGGTGTAAAAATAAGTCAGTAGGGGATGTGATCCATAACTTTTGCCAGACTGTCAGGAATGTCGATTTCACATGTTGTTGTGACTTGACTGAAGCGTTTCCACGTGCCGATAATCATGTTTCTTTTAGATTGAATGATTGCGATCTTTTTCCTAAATGGACGAGTAACTCGAAAAATATCTTGGAACCGGCTGAACAATTTACTCTTTCAAACCTTAGGAAATATGTCCTTACCTCTTTTCTTTCTTTACTATCCCTTCCACCCGTCGACGAGAAGGATATTACTGATGATGAACTTTGTTTCTGCTGCTCTGATTATGGTCTTGTTTCCCTCTCTGGTTCGCAGTGTAATTCCTACGACATTCTTACTCAGAAGCGAAGGTTAGCAGGTCTGGTTTGTTGTCCCATTGATCACAATGTCTGTGATACATACGTTTGTTGTCCGTCATTACTTAGGGTTGGGTTAAGTAAACTTTTTTCGGAGAACTCTGCCTTTCGTAGGTGGGACACGACTGAAGAGGAGATTCTACGCGAGTGCAAAGAAAGATATCGTTGTTTGGGACTCGAACGAGTTGGAAAATGGAATGATCGTGGTCGATTGGGAAGGGCATACTGTATACCAAAACATAAAGATGTATTCAGATGGCGGCCCATTTGCCCTTCCTTTTCCGAATGCTCCACAACGGGTGGACGAAGAATCTCAAAAGTCGTTAATCTTCTGCTCTGGAAACTTCCTCGAAACTTCCATTTCAACCTTCGTGCAACTCAAGATTTTATGAAAGGTATTAGTGGCATGAATCTGACTTTGAAAAAGGGTGAATGCTTGATCGGAACTTCTTTCGATATTAAGGAGATGTTCTCCCACCTCCCTCATCGCTCCATTTTTCGTGCCCTCGAATGGGTTGTTGATTACTGGACCGAGGAAGGGTATCGAGTAGTCGCTGTACAAAGTCAAGGTAAAGGTGTTTCCCTTATTAAGGGTCAACAAGAGGAGGGCTCGTTGGCCATACCATTTACTAAAATTGTGTCATTTGTTTCTTTTGAATTAGGTAATACGTATATTAATATGTCTGGGTCACTATTGCAACAAACTGTAGGAATACCTATGGGCACAGCTTTGGCCTGTTTGATGTGTGCTTTCGACGAATACAACTATTTGTCTTCATTGGGAATGATAGGAAGCTTTTTCATGGATTCGGACTTGTAGATGATGTTTCTGTCTTCGTGGTGTGTAAAGGGATGCAAGAAGTCGTGTGAGAAAGGACGACAATTGATACAATGATTCAACAACTGTTATGATAAGGAACTTACCTTGGAGAATACTAGTGATGGTCGCTGCTGGGAATTATTGGGTTGTGTCATTAGTATCCTGGAAGGTGAGCTTAGGGCTGCTTGTTTTGCAACACACAAGAACCAACAAGGTTGGAAGAACTCCCGGTTGACTTTCCAGAGCATCCAAGACTTTGACTCTTATTCGGATAGACAACAAAAAAATGGTTGTCATTTGGTCTTTTTTACATTGTGCACGAAAATTTACCTCCATTAGTGGAACATAAACTTCTTTCCTATTTTCCCTTAAGGTTGAACTATGGCGTAGGGGATATCTTGACAATCAACTTTTCGAAGAAGTTTGCAGAACTTTGGGATGAATGACTTTCAATCCTGACCGACTGGCGAGGTCGTTTCTACAAGGGATAGTATGCGGTTTGTTACTATGACCTTTTTCGCAACATGTTCAGTTTAGGTTGGGGGAATGATTAATTTTTTTGCGATATATGGATAGGACGCTGAAGAGGTTTTGAACTCTCGTAGACTGTTTGGAGTTGTAAGCATAGGAGGTATATATGTGAGCTTTGCGGCCACCTTTTTGGTTAATAGTACCGCTTGATAAACCTGGTCACTTCTTTCCTATTTTTACTTTTTAGAAAAGAGGCATGTGGTCTTTTGAGACCGGACCTTCTTCTTTTTCCCTTGTAGCACCCTCCTTTCGATTTTGGGATTCGATTTTGTTCTTTTTGGACCACGAGCGTGGTGTATGGACGGTTTTGATGGATGTGTGGCGTTTGTTGTTTCTTGAGATAGTGATGGTTACTTTTTCCTATCGGAGGCTGGAATTGATGTACTTAGTCGGACTAGTAGTTTCCATACATTTTTAGTTCCTTTTTTTGTTGTTGACTCATATATTTTGCTTAGATAACTAGTACTTTTTCCATCTAGATATATAGATAGACTGTCCTACCAACTGAGACAAGTCCCCTGATGATGCTGGTCACAACGGCCAGCTGAAACCGGTAGGGTCACTCACCGTACGTTCGTCGGATTACTTGTTTTTTCATAACGGATGAAGTCGCGTTCGGATTTCATGTCTATCTTGTCCACCATACGTCTTCCCCCTTCTTCCCCCTCCTTCCCATGTCTTACCCTGTCTTGCCTTTTCATTGTCTTGATGTTGCTTAAGTTCGTTGATTGCCATCTATGATTATGCCATTTTTGAAAGTGTTGTACATCTTACAACAACAACAACGGGCAAGTGGTCCCGGGCCACTATGGTCACCTATACACAACATAGTTTTTTCTGGAATTTTTTTACTTCTGTTTTTTTTTTTTTTT